TTTTTTTTTTTTTTTTTCTTTTCAATTATTTTATCAGGGTTCAGATTAGGACCTTCAAGAGAACATGGGGGTATCTCCCAGATGGCAAAATCTGGATAAACCAAGAGACTTGTTTTTCCTTTCCGCTTTGAGTCTTTCTGAGTACATAGTCCTGTTCCATATGCCATTCCCTTCCTCCACTTTCTGATTTAGGAGCAGTGATGATCCTGTATCCATGTCAATATTTACAGGAACRATCCTGGCCCTTTTTCAAGTCTCAGTAAGCAAATCATGTGACACACTGTGACAAGAGCTGTCCAGCAGAGAAGCACTTTCTAAGAAAATGCTTCTGGCACCAATTAGAGCTGGGAGCAAGGATATTGGAAAAAAACAGCCAGAAGCAGGAACTGGAAAATCTGGTGTCCTCATTTTGATCTCTTAACATCTGGCACACAGACGCTGCAAGATCCCTTGTTTATAATGTTCATATGTCTGTGGGACAGCATGGCTATACGAGCATGGCTATACGAGTTCATGTGTCTCCACRAAAAGGACTCTTGCCCCATCCCTGGCATCTCTGTGAGGCTAATGGACAGCAAAAACAAGAGATCTGCAGTAAAAATTGATGGTTTTGAGGGGCAGATGACTGAGCAAAGTGTTCAGTGAGAGTTTAATGATAAAAAAAAAGCATGAGAAATGAAGTTTTCTTAGTTTACATTGTGAATGTAAGCTGATTTGCATATAAATTGGACCTGTCAAGTGTACTAATACCGATCAAAGCTGTGAAAATAAAACTGATGTTGCAAATAAATCATTAATTTACGTGAGTGTAGTGAAGTGTAGCTGTTCATTTTATTTATTTTTTCAGAGCAATTTGGAGGAGCCAGATAGTGAAAAATTAGGTACTTGGAGCTAAGCTGGGAAGTTTGAGAGCTTTAAGTTGGCAGTATGTTTGTTTAGAAAACCTTGGCATGCCAAAAAGCATCACCACAGGCCCGGCCCTAGTGTTAGGCTTGTGCAAGCTTCTCTCTCCACGTTGGTACGTTGTCTCTGTGGTGAAGACCCTGCTTGAGATAAATTTGTTCAGCCCTCCTGGGTGCCCGGTTCCTGACCTGACCCATGYGTTTTGAAACCCCTGTGTGGTGGAGTCATGGTATCCGTTTGTGATGGTCAATTGACCTACCCAATCTGCAGCAGTAGCTGGGGCCCCCCTAAGTATCTGGTCCCTGTTATACTGCACTTGGCTCAGGAGCAGCGTGACACAGCATAAGGGTATCTGTCTTTCCAGTATAACCTTTTTCAGGAACTTGTTGTCACTCTACCTCAAAGGAGAGGTGCTGCGCCAGGTCCTTCTGGGGGAATACACATGATCAGGCTGRGTTCTCAGTGGCTCTTAGCACAGCCCTGGGTTGGGCAGCTGGTCTTTGGACAGTTAACATTGCTCTCTSTCTCTGCTCTGCTACCTGTGGGTGCTGCAAGACGCCATCCCTGGTGACTCCCTGCTGATCCTGCCGCCTGTTTCCAAGGCCTTTAACAGGGATACTCACTGGTGACAGTTTTTCTTCCTCCTTTGCAGCTCATCATGGACTTTTCTGATCATACCCGTCAAAATATGGTAAAACTGTGTGCAATCTTCACAGGGTCCTTGTAGCAAGAGTGACCTCAACAGTGATCTTCCTGACTGCTTTGCTGTGCTGGTCCCCTTCCCGTAGGGTAGGGAGGGAGGGAACTGGGTCCAGCAGCAGAGAGTTGTGCAGCAAGTGCAGGAGGATCATGAGTGGATGTTGAACTTCAGAGCAGTGAAGGTGACATTCAAGAAGGTCTGTGTTTGCCCCAGTCTYGGTCTGATCCCCGTACAGAATAAGCATACAAGTCCCCAAAGGCAGAGAAGTTTGATTGTGGGCAACCCTGGGTGCTTAGCAAATCAGTCTTTGCCTACRAGAGGACAGCAGGTCCAGTGCTGACCCTCCTTCTCGTGGCCGTACAGGAGGACCTGGTTTTGCATCTGTGGGCTCTGCCTGCATGGACAGGACAGGGCACGTGTCACACGCCCTTATAGTCCCCCCAGCCAGATGAAACCCTTCACCATGGGGAAGAGCTTTTGCCTTGCTGTGCTGGGAGCTCCTCTCATCACTTTTTAGAGCTTTGTGTCAGCTCCTCTGAGAGGTTCAAGGTGCCCAGGTGTCCGGCAGCCCCAGCCTGCTGGTGCCTGCTGTGTGTGTGTGGCACCGGTGGATGTGCTGTGCTCTCACTGACCCTGCCAGGCCCTCTGTGCCCTGGGGCACGGAGCCTCCCGCTGCCACYATGGCCTGTCACTAGGTCTCTGTTCCCTCAGCAGCCCACACAGGGCAAACAAATGTACCTTTGGCAGCCTGAAGGGGAAAGAGATGTTAGGGTCAGACTGAAGAGCTGCTTCTGCTTCATGGCAGTATTGTCCTTGCCCATGGTATTTCTTTTTTTCAGAATCTATGAGAGAATAGAAAGAAAATGGTGGTGAGGGAGTCTTAACAGAGTTATGGGCACTTAGCTCTGCTTCAGTGCCTGTGAGAGACGAGACGGCTGTGAAGGAAGCCTGGCTGACCCTTGTATGGGGAACCTGCACACTGCCGCTGTTCAGGGGGAACAATAACCACTGTCTTCACACACCTGTTTTCTCTAAGCTGATGCTTTTGCCTGCTCTTCTCCTTGCCTTACCCTTCCGCTTTGCAGGGGCAATGCTAGCTGTGGCTGTGCAGACTTGGCCAAGAGCTCCGTACAGCTGAAACAACCTCTCTGCTCCTGTGGCTGGCTGAGTCCCTCCACAACAGAGGACTCRCATGAGAGCAAATGCCACAGTAAACAGGAAATGCCTTTTCAAACAATGAAATCAAATCTAATCAAGCAGTGAAAGATAATGGAAAGAGATGATAAAAGCATGGAAAAACAGGAAAAGCAACTCTAGCTCCTGCAGCAGGTGGCAAATGGTCAAAGCCTCCTGTACTTACAGCAAGTGCACATCAGATAAGTTTAAGTCATGCAGATGACGCTCCAGATTCTAATGAGCACAGGCAGTAAAAACAGTGCTAGCGCAACCCTAAGTGTGCCCCAGCACTAGGGCCAAAAGGTGGTCAGGGCTCTGCAAGGCTCCCAGCTGTGCAGCCTCAAGGCTGTGGTGTGTCCATGTGCAGTCGCTCACAGGGGCAGGAGTGGCGTGTCGAGGAGTGAGCTGCTGTGGAAGCTTCCACCATCCACACCCCAAGGGGTCCATCTCTAGAGACTCTTCCAGCCCCAGTGCCAATCCTCCAGTGCTGGGAATTGTGTGGCTGTGAACCTGAGGGGAAGCACTCATTAATACCTGAACTGGGGATGCAATAAATGAAGAGAATGAAAGATTAGATACTAAGGAGATATGTTAGGTACAAGGAAGGCAATGTCTGCTACAGAATCCTGCAAGCCACCCAGACTGTGTTGAGCAGCAGCAAAGGCACCTCTTGAAACAGCAGGGAACTACAGCAGCGTATGAGGGAGTGGGGGAAATGAGGACAAAGATTTCTGCAGATGTTCTTCTTGCYAGGGGGATTTTACTGTCCAAGGGCTCTCCTGAATCCTAAGCGACCCACGGACAGACACAAGCAATAGCCCATCTGTTCACTGCAAGCCAGCTCCATGCTGAGGCTACTGAGGTTCAAAAAGCCAATTGAAGGTGGCAGCCCTTACACAGGAGAGCAAAAAAAAAAAAAAAAAAAGTTTCTGATCCTGATCTCTGTTTAGCTTAGTACTGTACAGCACGTTGGTGCTAGGTGTCTGAATCTGAGTGCACAGCTTTGATGAGGGGCTGTGCAGTGCCCCTCTTTTGCATTCCTGGGATTATGACTGGTAGCTGACAGTGCTAGCAGAAGGACAGGCCCCTTAGTGTCCTGCGTCCCGCTCCGTAACTCCTGTGGACACACAGGGTATGAGGAATGYCTGTGATCTGTGTTCCTGCTTGCTGAGAGCTGCACTGAGATAACACGCTGCCAGCACGAGCCCAGGACACCCAGCACAGCCCATGCTCTTTACCAGCACAGGCTGGATCTAGAGAGTTTAGCAAGGACATGCTTGTACCTGTGTGAGCTCTTCCATCAGGTTCACGCAGAGCTCRGCTGGACCCCCATTTCTCCATACCCTAGCTTA